ACATCATCTATGGATTAATATTGGGCAGGACTTGACAAGGAAAGAYTAAACTATAGTAGTTTGTGAAGTTTGTTCTAGAACGCTGAGTTTTATAATGAGGAATGAATGCCAAGAGCAACAGACCCCAATGATCGTTCCTAATCTGATCTCTGTTGAACCAAGAATTGCTACTTTTGCTCCTCATCCTTTACCAGTATAGTTGGAGTCACAAGACACTTCATCTATAAAGGATGAACRAATAGCAAGACTGGACAAGTTCTCCAGGATGTCTTCCATGGTGTAAGAATTAACTTTGCAATCTCTGTTTACTTAAGACTCTTAGTATTTGAAGCTGGACCAGTTTTGCTTATTCTGTATAAACAGTTCACATTCAGGCTTTATCAAGGAAAAAAAAAAAAAGGCGGCAGTTCATCATGTAAACAAAGGAAAACTGAGGATTAATCATGCTTTTAGAACCCAAGTTCCTGCAACACACACACMCAAAAAGGATTGCTGTTTTCATACAATTTGGTATCAATTTTGTACAACAAGATCCTGAAACTAATGGGATGAGTCACTCAGAATAGGGCATTCAGCAACATGAGCAAAAAAAAAAAAAAAGAAGAAAATGAAAGGGAGAGGCAAGCCGCCTCTATTCAGATTGAGAAATATATTTCTTCGTCCTCTTCCTAGGACACTCCTTTAAGAAAATCCTGTTCTTAATTCCTTCTCCTCAACTCCTCTTTCTTCTTAAATAGAAACCTTGAAAAATATATCTAACTCATTAAAAYTATCCATTGAAACTAAAAATATATATATTTTAAAAAACTGAGGTACATGTTTGCCAAAGCCTTCAAATCTTCAAATGGCAGCAAATAAAATGGCAATCAATTTGAAATACAAATCTTGGGAAAAGACACATTTTCTCTAYGGTAAAATATATTTTTTCTAAGAACAAACTTTTTCTTGTTTGTTTATTAATTCCTCTTCTCATCTGAACTGCAACTTGTTTAGGACAGATAGCATGAAGTTCATTTTGTATCTCTGCTTTACCTGTTGTATGGGTAAATGTCTAATTACAGTTCTCAGRAGTGACAATACATCTCCTTTACCCATAAATGAATCAACTTTAATGGTATTAGAAGGAAAGCAGAACGACATTTTCATTCAGCAAAGGAAAGTACAGTTAGCTTACGAAGCAATCTGAAACGCATTTGAAAGATGTCTAGGTAATAACAATTCCTCGTTAGACAGAAGTTCATCATTTTATTCACGTGTCCAAGTACAGCAATTTGTTCTTTCTGGTAGTCATTGTACAACCTCCTCAGTTAATTATTGCTAATGTTTTGCAGAGTGTGTTGTAATTAATTACTGTTATTAGTGTAATTAGTGTTGCTAAATATAAGCCAGCAATGAACGGCCTCAGGATTTAGAGGCTCTTTTGTGTATATTTTTTGTCACACTGTAAAAGAGAGCCAAGCCCACTGGGTTGTGCTGCACTATTTGGCTAGAGAGGATGAAAGGTTCACTGCTCAGAGACAGGGCTCTGAAGCTCCTGATAAGCAAAACTTGTCACTACCTAGTAAGCAAAACCTGTTAGTAACCACAAAGACTATTAGGTGTCAGTCAACTTGGCAGAGATATGAAGAGTACTGAATTGACCTGAGGTTTCGTTTTGTCAACAAAGTAGAGAAGATCTCACACCTAAACCTTTTTTTTTTTCTTAGATTAAAGATAAATTTAAGTATAATATCAGAAATGCATACTTGTAGCATAGATTATAATCAAACCAAAGTGAAAAAAATCACATTTTGTTTGAAGTGGTCTTCAATGTTTGTTTTGTTTTATTATTTTATTTTGGTTAGATTCTAACTTCAGTCTTATCTTGCATCAAAGCTATGGCAAAGTGCTTGATGTAAGTCACAACCCACACAAAGTAATAAATTAGCATATTGCTCTGAAAACCAAAATAGTTCTATTTTCAGAACTCTTTGAAGGGATTACTCATGCTAGGGAAATCCATAATCTATAATTACATGATAGAAAAATCATTTTCCCAGCCAATTTACATATAGCTTTGTACATTTGAATTAAACATCGCTATTACCTATTTATGCAGAAGTATGKTTTTTTTTTCCCTTCTGCAAAATGCAGATTTTTTTCCTTGAACAAATTTGGAATGGGAGGACCCTTAATCTACCATTCTTAAATCATTGTGCAGTTCATACATCGTTATTCTGGGAATTCCACCGAGCGTGGCAGGTATCAGATGTGGATGCCCTGAGTTGTCTTTTGATTGTCGATTCCTCTGAACCTTCTAGTACCCGGAACAGTCCAGCAATGAGACTGACTGCCCTGCTGGGTTATCTGCCATCCTGGATTACAGAAAACAAAGCGCAARTCTAAAATCCCCAAACAAATATTTAATAAATATTGTCAAAGGAGTTCCCATTCTTGGYGTTCCCTTTCTTATTTCCTCCTCTTCACACTCTTCAATTACTACTCTTAAGCCCTGTTAAAATGAGTGTGTGGTTTTCASTAACGACCCCAAGACATTCAGTGCAAACTGGCACAGGGAAAGCACAGAGGAGTGTAGGAAATACAAGAAAAAAATTACCCCGGGGGATCCAAAGAAGTGAACTACATCCAGGCTAAATCTTCCAACAATTCTGCTGCTTGGTTCTTAAGAAAGTTCTTCTGAAACATGAATTATTTACTACTGAGCAAAAGGAGGACCTGAAAAGCTTTCATCCAAAAGAGGTTTCCCACTCAGCAACTTAGCTCCAGCTGTTACTGCTTTTTTAATGCCTTAGTAAAAGGGAGGAAGAAGGCAAAAAAATAAGAGAAGCCAGGTTATTAACAACATATCATCCTGATTTTAACATATCTGCCAAATTCTGTGTTGAAATTTTTTTTTTCTCTCTCATCCCTATTCTACTCTGACCTTGTTTTTGTGGTTAGGCTTGTAATTTCCTGGACAGATTGAATCCTGCCCATTAACAGAAAGGATAGATCATTGTGAAAAAGAACAGCAGCCATCCAGACCTTTTTCTGGTTTTAATGCTGTTGAAATCCTGCCTAAAACAGAGTCAAACCGAATGTATAATTTATAAAATGACATAAATTCTTCCTTATTCCTATAGAAATCCTATTATTTGGATCAGTTTAGGATTCTATTGAAATATTCAAGCCCAAATCACACTGGAAGGTTGCAGTCAGTTAATAAACTGTGTACCCCATTTCTTCTAGTCTTGTTAGTCATTGTTTTTTTATTTAGTTCATCACAGGTTTTAATTTATCCCACTGTATGGCATAACTATTCACAAAATGTCATTTTATTTCTCCAGAGCACACAGACATCCAGGTCTTCTTGAACAATTACCTGYTTTTCTCAGCTTTGGAGAGGTACTGCAGCACTTCATAGCCCACAGCTTTGGAGGCTTCCTTCACAGAAAATGATAAACTAGGATTTTCTGACCAAGGAGAGGCAAGTAAACCTCACTTGGGTTTTCAAACTCTTAAAAGGAAACTCTTAAGGTTTCTTCAATGCCTTCATATAATTTGTCCCTTCTGATTCAATTATACTATAAATATAGTATAGTTTGTAGTATCTTTTTTCACTAAATGAGTCTTCCAAATGGCACATTTCTTACAAGAATAAGTTTCAAAAAATTGCTGCCATCTTTTGGATGCACTCAGAAAAAAAATGCAAGACAAGTGATATTTTGCTGAAAGTTCCAGCTGACACATCCTTGAAATCTGCTTTACCATGGATAAGTTCATTTGAGATCGCAGAAAGTTCCTCTGAGCTAACCAATTTTTTCTTCACCCTCATTTTACTCAGTGATAATAGGATAACATCTGTGCAAATATTGTTTGCTTAGTAAGATAACACTGAAAGGAAAGAGCTTTCACTGAAAGATGTGGCCCTGAAACCAAAACCAAACGAAAGAAAACAGAGATTATGATTATATACAGGGGAAATTAAACCTACTCCCAAAACTTAAAATTTAGCATCTACACCTAGTTTTTTTTTTTTCCTTAGAATAGGAAGCAAAACTTATTTGAGCTATACACTCACCACAACTTACTGTCACAGTTTATTTATCCTGCCTGACCTGAAACTTATTTGGAATCCAGGCTGATGTATTATACTACTTTCCTTCATTTTCTTCTTTTTCTTTTTTTCTTCCTTTTTTAATTTCCAGAAGATGCAGCTAYAGGCCAGCTCAATATACTAGCTACTGAAACAGCCATTGCATGCTCAGCAAAGTCTTTTTGAGAACAGGGGATGCTAGTGTCAGTGAGAATAAATCAAACGGTGATAGTATCTGGCAAAAGGAAAACATTGTCCAGAGAAAATAATAACTCCTCTGAAGAGATATCATTGTCAGACAATAGAGTATCTCGCCAGCACTGGACAGTGATATTAAAATATGCTGCACATCTCCCTTATCGCCTGGGGTGAGACTCAGATATACATCCTTTAACTGTCCAGGCAGAAGGGGAGTCTAACACCAGCTGAGCCAGGCTGAYACTCAGCAAAAAAGGAGTCAGGAAAAGATGCGGGGAAGAAATTGCAAGCACCAAAAGCATCCTCCTCACTTTGCACTTCAGGGCTGACTTTGCAGGTAGTTTCATCTCTGCCTGGACACGAGAACTGTCAGGCCAACAAGTTGTATTCACAGTATCCCAGCAACCCCATCACCCCTCGCAAGGTGTTAGTGCCAGGACTGCAGGAAGAGCCAAGCATTACATTAAGAGCAGCAAGCAGGCTCCTCGCAGCCAACAGAGCCACCACGGTTGCTTTTGCAAAAGAGTCCAACAAAAAATGCTTGTCATATTTCACTCTGCCACAAATTAAGCTGACTCACTGCCCCAGTCGCTAGTTACAGACTCTTTTATCCAAGCCATGTGCAGCGGAGAGAGCAGTGAAGCCTCTCGGCAAACCGTGCTGCTTCTCTGAACTTTACACTCCCAGCTCACCCTTTCTCCCCCAAAACGTTGGTGCTGAAACTTACCGCTTTTGCCAACTCCCCCCGCTCCCAGCATCACCACCTTGTACTCTCTGGAGCCTGCTGAAGAATTGCTGGAGGAGCTGATCATCTCGTTTTCTAGCTCCATCTTGCACGAGGCAACAGCAGAGAGCAGAAGGGAAGAGAAAAGCAGCTGACAGGTGCCTGCTCTGATCTTAAACAACTATAAAAGCTCCGTTAAAAAAAAAGAAAAAAAAGGAAAAAGCATAAAGGAAAGGTATAACACAAGAGGTAGGAATTAGCAGCCTYGCACTCGCTGCTGTGCCTGTGTTAGCTGGAGAAGGTCTCATAGCAACCACTTTAACAGCTTCCAATAAAAATCTTTCTCTGCCCCCTCCCAGCTCTGTATCATTCTCCGGGTTTCTCTGCCTGGACAGAAGCAGTTTTGTGAGGCTCAGGAGCCCTGGTACCTCTGGGTGTTGCTGTGTCATTGGAATCAAATGGAGCAGAGCCTCCAGCAAGGGAAAAGGGAGCACATTGCTTAATGATGAGGGTTGATATTCTATATAGCACTTACTTGGATTTTAAATCATAATAAAATTTTACTAGATAACCTCCTTGCTACCTTGGAGCTATTTATCCTACATTTATCAAGTCTGCTAAATTTACAAGTAATATAATTACAAGAAAATGTGAAACAATTTTACAAAGTTTCTGTTTGTCATGAAGGTGAGTTCTAATAGACAAATTCTCTAAGGTCAGTCTAGTTCCCAAATCAAGTCTCTTCTGGTGTAGTTTGCACTAATTATTTACGGAAAATTACGGGTATTTTGTACTTATTTTCTGACAGAATTTCAGAAGGGTCCTGGGTGTGAAGAAAGGGAAATATCACTGTAAGCAGAAAATATCTTACAGAAAATATCACTGTAAGCAGAGAAGAAAAAAATGCTTTGTTGCGAGTATTTTATAATATGAAATGACTTATCTAACCAACCTCATCAGCCCAAATAAATAACATCAATAAAGCAAAAAGTTTATGAACAAAATTGAATATAAAAATGCATCAGAATCATCCAGTGAAAACTCAAAATGAAATATCACAGCTCTTCGTTTCTTTTTTTTTAAGAAGTCATTTTCCACAGGTAACACCTTTAAGGAATGTGATAATTAAAAATATTTGTTCAGCTTTAACTGTTCTTCAATATTTTCTGCAGCCCGAAAACATCTAATCAAAAGTAAGAGAAAGCAAAATGTTGCTCTCCTCTGCAAAGTGCAGTGCTTTTGGAAAATTTATGCAACCATTAGAGAGACAGAGAAATGGAAACAGGGAAGTGCCTGGTAATCAGGCTTGGGAGCCCCACACCTCTTAGGATTATCATCTTTCCACTCCACCAATTATTTCATGGAGTGTAAACGTAAGACATTAGACAAGAATCCAGACTTAAGAGTAGAGAGAGAAAGAAATTAAGAAAAAATGTAGCCTTATTAAGGATACAATGTAAAGAAAATGAGAGGGAAAGAAAAGGTATAGAAGTGCACCTGTATGGAAAACAGTCCATTGGACTAGGGAAAGAGATGATGAAAGAGAAATGTAGTATTTATAAAATTAGAACTGGAATGGGGAAGCTGAAAAATATAAATAGTAAAATTTAGAGTCAGTGTCTCTTCCTTAAAAAATGCCTTAACYTCCCACCAACAGCTTCAATGAAAACCTTTAAGAAACGTATTACGGGCTGTTCAAGGTACAGTTCAAGGTAAGGCAGAGGGGGAGTACTTCCCAGAACAAGGATCTTCTGGTGTTGACCTTCAAGATTCCTGTAGTACCTGTGCCCTGAGGAGCTTTGCACAGTCACGGCTGGGTGCCTGTATTAATACCAGGAGGTGAACCTTGGGATTCAGGAGGATTTAGCCTTCAGAGACTAGACGAGCACTTATACAGGAAATTCCGAATGTAATAACATGATGCCTAAATATTGAACTCCGGCAGTAAGAGTCAGGAAGGTCAGTAAATCCCTGTTGTAATTAGAATCCCATTTTCATTAAAATCACCTTCAAGTGCTCAGTATTGACATATTAAACTGGATTAAGCAGGCTGCCTAGCACCATTCCTTGGAGCTGGGGGTTTTCTCGTGATCTCCCATCAACACAGCAACCTCCTCCTCCTCGGAAGCTTTTATTAAAYGCTGGCAGTAACTCTTGGCTGACATTAAAATAAGCCATCAAAGGGGATGGTTGTGTGGATGACTCAAAAGACAGCCTAAGGCAAATATTCCAAAAAATATTGTTGGAAAYGATGTACATACATTAATATCTCCTTCCCTGTTAATGCTTGCCAGAAAATACTGWTCAAATCAATTTTTTTTTTCATTTCTTTGGAGCTGTAAAGTGGGAAAGAATATGTGGAAATGGAAGAGGTTGCAAAAGTGAATTATTTTAGAATAAGGAAAAGAAGAAGAAAGATCTAAGCAGAAGGCCATTTCCTTGTCTTTCAAACTAATCTAGAAAAATGAAGACAGTACTTGCATGTCCAGAAGAGTGGAATTAAATTTTTTTTAAGTCTACAGATTAAAGACAAATATTCATACTTACTAAATAGGTAAATAAGGCATAATATAGACACTTGGACAAAACAATGYTCCTAACTATGCCACTATCACTGGGATTTGTCCTGAGCCCACAAAGGAGATGCTGCATKTCCCCTCACAAGGCTGAATTGCTACTAATTGGGTGTCATCATAACTTCCAACTGACAAACAGCTTCTTTGCCCTAATTTCATTCATTTCAGTAGTGTAGAACAAGTATTTTAGCTTCATTCCCATTCATGATAGTTTCAATTAGCGGTCCCCTTCAGCCATCTAAGCAGAAAAGAACAAGGTTTTGCTTTCAGTCTGCTGCCAAAAAAAWTCATGTTGAGGTGATTTGAAATGACTTATCCTGCAACTCTTATAAGATAGGAAAAAAATTGCCAGTGCAAACGTTTTATGGAATCACTCATAGCTGCAAACTACAAAAAGAACCACAGTAGATCCTGAGATACTAGAGCTTTTGTCACGGGTGGTTCCTTCTGCAACAAATTCCAATCCTCTTTTTTTCTTATTTCTGTCTGTCTTTCCCTGTTTCAAGGTTACCTTTATCATGGTACAAATCCAGAGAAAAGTGTCCTCCAGAAAACARCAGTAGCTATAGAGGAGGGAAAAAATAGGTGGGTGTGGTTTTAATCTGTAATGAAATATTTATTTAGCAAACTTCTATTCAAATATTCTATTGTCATTTACACACTTTATGAACATAAAGCCTGTTATTCTGATTTTTTATTTTTAAATCTGCACTGAGAGCAATCAGTATTCAGCATCTGTGAACTACTTAACAGTCACRATATGAATTCAAATATTGACATAGATGTTACACATACAGAGAAATATATGTTCAGATCTTTAGGAGTAGCTGAGTTTTAAACAGAAGACAACATATAGACAGGTACCTGAGAGACAGATGAGATTTTTTTTCTGGAGAGAATACCATTAGAAAACACATTCCATTCATCCTATATCCTCATTTACTCTGGGGGTGTTGAATAAAATAATGAGATGTTAATACAGCATGTAAATGCTCTGAAATTGTTTCCTAGAGCACTTTATGTTGACGAGATTTTATCAATTAACCTRCATAAATATTCTTGTCATTAAGGAGAGAGCTTATGAGTTTAAAAACTTAAGCAGCAAGCAAAATTCAAATCTTGACTGATTCGTGCTCCAGTAAGTGAAGAGTTTAAAGGCATCCGAACCATTTAATATTAAGGGAATATGCATGAGCCCACTGGGGGCCATTCCAGTACGGATACACTGACCCCTCCTTTGTCCCTCCTGCTTACATATTGGGCCCAGCAGAGAGGAAATGCAAAAAGCATCCTTTGTAAAATGGCAAATAAGCCCACCTAGCTGAAATGCTGCTATGACAAGAGTGCTAATGCAGAAATTACTGCACAGCACTGGAGCACTGATGAAATTTGCTCCTAAGAAACGCTGCATTTGGCACRCTAACTTGCCTTGATCAGTTCTGAGTGAAACCACGAACAAGAGTAATTGCTAAGGGACTCTAAAATTTTAAGTTTAAATTTCATATTACCAGATTTAACATATTCTTTCTTAAATATGCTGAGCACCTCTGAATTATATTGGAACGGGACCTCCAAGGCACTGCAGGAGAAACTCTGCATCTTTGTAATTCAGATTTCTACTAGAAGTAGCTCATAGCTCAACAACCCATCTGCTAAATGCACTCAAACTTCCTTAGCTCATGTCCATCATTTTTCTGTTCACCTGTAGGATAAGCCACTGTATCACAGATTCCTCCCTATGCTTGGTAGGATTCTTGGYAGCCACCCACTTTGATATTGGCTCTTTGGTTCAAGCTCTTAAGACATAGGCCTCTTGTTCCCAAGTCCTTATTTCTRTCTCTAGTGTCACACAACATATTGTCCCCTGCCTCTGCTGCAAKGCATTTCAATCTAAGCTCCATTAGTATGTGGAGCAGCTGGAGTAAATTAAAGGAGAAGAAACATAATGCTGACTACTAATAGCAAATGTGAAATTACTTCAGAGACCACTGAATAAGAGAAGAGATGTGGTGCTTCCAGTCTTGTAGTCAAGCGGGGGAAAACTGTCCATGAGTTCAGAGCAACATATTTTCCTCAGGTCAAATTTGACTCAGGTCAAATAATCACAGAATAGTACAGTGGTTAAGGTTGAAGGGGACCTCTAGAGATCATCTAGTCCAGCCTCCTGCAGGGACACCTAGAGCACAGGGTGGCATCCAGGCGGCTTTTGAAGACCTCCAGAGAAGGAGMCTCCACAACCTCCCTGGGCAGCCTGTGCCAGGACTCTGGCACCCTCACAGTGAAGAAGTTCATCCTCACATGCAGATGGAACTGCCTGTGTTTTAATTTATACCCAGTGCAATTAATATTGTGCAGAGGTTGTAGAAACAGAGACAGTTCACCACACTCTTGAGAAAATTCAGGTGGYGTTTCTTCAAAGAGCCATACCAACTACCACTCTGACTCCAACAGAAAAAATTAAGGTCACATCCTAGGGTGCTGTCAATGGATAAAGCTATTTTCTCTTGGTTTCCAATAACATTTCACCAATGATTTATGATCTTAATGTCAAGAAGCATTAATGATTGCAGGTCACTTATGGATTTCTGTTGAAGTTTAATTACATTTATAGATAAGACTTATTTTTAAATTCAACACTGATACTAACAATGTGCATATTTGAAAGATCTTATAGTCTTAATTTCACATAAACACA